GTTAGAGAAAGTCAAGTGTTTGTGGTGATTTTAAGTTTCTTTGAGAAAATCTTACGGAAGTCTGTTTCTGACCTAGAGCTTAAACCAGCAGAAAAAAAGTTTTTTGTGTGTGTCACAATGTAGGAAGAAACCAACTAAGACATTTTATTCTCCAGTTAGTGCTAGTTCTGTGTCTGAAACATTTGGGGGGAGAGCAGGTTTTCTTTTATCTTTCAATTTATTTTATTTTATTTATTTTACTTTTTTCCAATTTTTATTAATTTATTTTTGTTACAGATGTTTCTCTTTTCACCCCACAGACACTCTCCCCCCAGCCCCCCACCCCCAACCCCCCAGCATTGCTGTCTGTGTCCATCAGTTACGCATACATGCATATAAGTTCTTTGGTTCATCTCATCCATCCTCCCCGCCCCCCTCCTCTTAGATTTGTCAGTCTGAACCATACTCCTTTTTATGTCTCTGGGTCTATATTTCATTCATCAGCCCACCCTGTTCATTATATTCCACAAATAAGTTGAGATCATGTGGTATTTGTCTTTCTCTGATTGACTTATCTCGCTTAGCATAATACTCTCAAGGTCCCTCCATGTCGTCTCAAAGAATAAGAGATCTTTCTTTCTTACAGCTGCATAGTACTCCATTGTGTATATCCATTCGTCTACTGATGGATACTTGGGCTGTTTCTAGATCTTAGTGATTGTAAATAGTGCTGCTATGAACATAGGGGTGTGAATATTATTTCTGATTGGTGTTTCAGGCTTCTTAGGGTATATTCCTAGAAGTGGGATCACTGGGTCAAATGGAAGTTCAATTTTTAATGTTTTAAGGTAACACCATATTGTTTTCCACAGTGGCTGCACCAGTCTGCATTCCCACCAGCAGTGTATTAGAGTCCCCTTTTCTCCACACCCTCACCAACACTTGTTGTTTGATGATTTGTTGATGGCGGCCATTCTGACAGGTGTGAGGTGATACCTCATTGTTGTTTTAATTTGCATCTCTCTGATGGTTAGTGATGTTGAGCATTTCTTCATATGTCTCTTGGCCATTTGTATGTCCTGTTTGGAGAGGTGTCTAGTTAGGTCCTCCATCCATTTTTTAATTGGATTCTTTGTCTTCCTATTGTTGAATTGTAGGAGCACTCTATATATTTTGGAAATTAACCCCTTATCTGATGTATCATTGGCAATTATGCTCTCCCATAGAGTGGGTTGCCTTTCCATTTTGATGGTTGTTTCTTTTGCTGGTTTCAAGCAGTGTTCATGTCTGTTTGTCCTGTGTGCTGCATATGGGCTCATGGATCATGTTCCCACCTGTCCTTTCTTCTATGTCTGACCCAGGACCTCGGCCAGGTCTTTCCGTTTCTCACGCCTGATGGTGTCTTTGAGATCATCGACTTGTTATTTAATCTGAAACTCTGTTCCTTGTCTGTATTTTGAACATTGTATCACAAAGATGGCTAATTATATATTAGAGGGATCTGTAGCTATTTTCTAGGTTTGCGTAGTAAAATGTTTATAAAGATAAGATGCAGTGTTGAAAGAAAGAGCCAACTGCAGATCAGAGTGAGTTAGGAGAGACAGGGTGGACTCGCAGCGGGTGTGGGTTTGGTGAGCAACATGTCTTCTAGCTGACACGGACACAGTGCTTGCTATGTGTCATAGATATTTCTCAGCCAGTATTTGAAAGGGAAATTGTGGTGAATGTTTATTATCATATTTTTAATCTAGCTATTGAGCTCATAATTTTTTTTTTATCCTCACCCAAGGACATTTTTCTTTTTTTGTTGTTGTTGTTGTTCAGATAGAGTGGAAGGGAGAGAGAGAGAGAAACATCGACGTGAAGGGACACATCGAGTGGCTGCCACCCGCATGATCCAACCAGGGCCGGGGACAAACTGCCACCGAGGTACGTGCCCTTAGCGGGAACCGAACCCGGGTCTCTCGGGATGAGCTCATATTTGTAAATAAATGCCTGGACACAGAGAGAGGGAACTGCAATGTGACCCAATGAAAAGAACACGAGCCGAGGCATGTAATCAGCTTCCCGGTGGTAAAGGAGACTGGCCAGAAAGCACGGTCGGTGCTCACGGTTCGACAGAATGTGTAGAATTCGCGAAGTCAGTCTACAATGATGTTCCTCCCTAGCTTTCAGATACTGGTTGCTCAAGATAATTTTAGTTCATATGCGGTCAAGACTCTAAAAAAAAATTCTAAGAACGACAATCAGCCATAGCAACGTGACTGGCCCACAGGGGAGAGGACACGGCAGGTCGTGCTTCCTGGGGACAGTCTCCCTCTGGGGGATGACAGGACCTGGAGGGGTGCTGAGGGCTGCAGAATCTTGTGAGCACACCGCCTGCCCCAGGACTGTGCTCGAACCGTGGTGAGGTGGGACGATTTGTGTCACGAGTATGTCACCGCGATGGAAGACGTCCCTGGCTCCCACTGGGCATGGTCGTAGGACGCTGCGACGGTCCTCGTCACCCTGCAGGTCCAACCGGCCAGGATCTGAAGCGGCTCTTGTGTGTTCGAGAATCTTATACATTGCTGCCGTCTTCAGTGGTAACAGATTTTTTGTGGAAAAGCCAATTGTGAAAAAGCGGACCACACCTGGAATGCGCTGCTGGGCTGCAGTCCCGCAGGAAGAGGGCTCGTTGCGGTTCGGTCCGCGGTGCCGGAGCCTTCGTCCTGCCCCGCGTGCCTGGGGAGGGGAGCTGGGCCTGGGCTGCCAGGGGGACCCTGCGCCCGCTCGGGGGGACAGAGGGCAGGAACACGGCCCGAGCTTCACACGGGCATCGCTGCCGTGGGTTCCGCGGCTTCCTTGGCCCTGTACTGGCCCCGTCCCGGTGTCCCCAAGTCTCAGCTTTCCCAGCATAAAATGGGAGGAATAGCACTTTCCCTATTATTATTATTATTATTTTTTTTCACAAATGAGTTAATGCATGTAAACATGTTTTGAAGATTGTGAAGTGCCCTAAGAATTAAAGCGGCATCATTTATACTTCTTTTGCTGCTAATGGTTTGTTTCCCTGGTGATCTCTGCGGTGCAGAGTGAACAGAATGTGTTGGTGAGGAGCAGCGCCCCCTTCTGTCTGGAGGGCCGCCCATCTAGGTCAGCCTGGGCGAGGGAAGCTGCAGGCTGGGTGTTGGGCTGGGGGGCTCCCTGTGGCTTCCTGCCCAGCCCTGCCCCGAGCCTGCAGCCCCTCCGAACCCTGAACACAGACGGGAGTATATGCTGAGGACACAGGTTTCCAGTTGATTTCACTTACACTTACCTGTGGTTCAGCTCATGTGACTAGAGAAAATAAATGCGGGTGACTAGAGAATTAAGAAGGCTCAACATTCTTGTATGAGAAATCGTGAGAAAAAAAGTGGAACATGCCCTGGCCAGTTTGCTCAGTGGTGGAGCATCAACCTGCGGATGTGGGTTCAATTCTCGGTCAAGGGCATGTACCTGGGTCGCAGGTTCAATCTCTGACCCTGGACTGGGTCCTGTGGGAGGCAACCATCTCTGTCTCTCTCTCTCTCTCTCTCTCTCTCTCTCTCTCTCTCTGTCTCTCTCTCTCTCTGTCTCTCTCTCTCTCTCTCTGTCTGTCTCTCTCTCTGTCTCTCTCTCTGTCTCTCTCTGTCTCTCTGTCTCTGTCTCTCTGTCTCTCTCTCTCTCTCTCTCTCTCTCTCTCTCTCTCTGTCTCTCTCTTTCTCTGTCTCTCTCTCTCTCTGTCTCTCTCTCTCTCTCTCTCTCTGTCTGTCTCTCTCTCTCTCTGTCTGTCTCTCTCTCTGTCTCTCTCTGTCTCTCTCTCTCTCTCTGTCTCTCTCTCTCTCTCTGTCTCTCTCTCTGTCTCTGTCTCTCTCTCTCTCTCTGTCTCTCTCTCTCTCTGTCTCTCTCTCTCTCTCTCTCTCTCTCTGTCTCTCTCACTGTCTCTCCCTCTCCCCCTCCCTCACTTCCACTCTCTAAATATCAATGGAAAAATTTCCTGCGGTGAGAATTAACAACAACAACAAAGTGGAATGTTGCACAAGAGTTCACTTTTTTTCTAAATAGTGGCTTTTGTAATTATTTAGAGGGCGGTGTGTACAAGATGCTGGCCCACTTTTTTACATGTATGTGGAATATACTCTGTAATGCAAGAAACGTGCGCTATAGATACGTAGGATGTGAAGCATTTTTGACTAAAGGGAAGGAATACAGCTGTGTGTGTATGTGTGTGTGCGCGCGCGCGCGTGCGTGTGTGTGTTTCTCTGTCTCTGTGTACTTGCTTAGAGATGGAGACAGAGACAGGGATTCTTCTTCCTGTAGATTCTAGTAAAGGTTTCTTCCCCGTTGAAAGAGACCCTGTCTGTTCCCTCACGACACCTTTGTGCAGCGCTGATACTGGGGCTGCGCCCGGCCCTGCGGAACTGAAGCACAGATGCTGATTTCTTGCCAGGCTGCAGCCCGGGGTTTGCATTCCAAGTCCGACCACAGACAGCCTTTCAACATTGCTTAGCCTGTTGTTCCTTATCTAGGATTCCTTCTTTCTCACTCCCCAGTGATGGCCCTTGAAAGAATTTTCTTTCAAGAGATTCCCCTTTCAAACCAGCAGTTTTGCTGCGCTAAAACCAGAACAATAAATTACAAGAACGTCAGTAGGTTCTTTTCTTTGATTTTGGTGTTTGTCTCCCTTTCCTTTGGGAGTTTCATGGCATTGAGGAAAAATAATTACTTAAAACCTGCCTTTGGGGCTTATAGGGTTATACTGATTCTTTTGAAAACCATCTAATTCTATATCATTTTAAATCCGATAGGTGTGAGCTTACAACTCCTCTCTGAATAATAATGTTTTACAGAGTAGACTGTGAGATGGTATAATTGTGTGCTTTTGGGGCATTCTTAAATCAAATTAACTGGCTACTGAGTGAGAAGAAAGGAAAAGGCATTTTGCAGGGAATCTGACTGGTGCTAAGCCACTCCTGCGGCAGCAAGAGGGACAGGGATCTGGGCTTTCCCACTCTGGCGGCGAAGGGGGGTTCTGGGGTGGTGGTCTGCTTCATGTTGGAGGACACCCCTCCATCTGTTCACAGCCCAGCCTGCTTCCAATGTAAAGCCCAGAATTCAACACAAACCTCGAATTCTTTTCCCCATTTTAAATGCAAAGCAAGGCTTGGGAATCATAGAGTCTGTGCTACTGAGATTCGGACCAGATTTCCCCCCAAATTTCTCAGGCCATTTGCTTGAATACCTGCTTACAGTGCTACACAATGGGCAGCTTTGAGAAGAAAAATTGATAATCTTCACGGAAGAGTAATTTGAATGAAATTGCACTTGACAGCCTGTCTCCGAGCAAACAAGAGGCGCGAGGGAGCCTGAGCTAAGCTCCCAGGACTTGCCCGAGCCGCGGCTGCCCGAGCCTCCCAGGGAAAGAAAACCGCCAGTTTTTCCAGCAGCTAATTGAGCTTTTGATTAATTCCGTGCACCAGATTCTGCTGAAGAAAGGAGAAGAATGGAGGAGAATATGGAAGAGGGACAGACACAAAAAGGTACTGTGCTCAAAGGGGTTTTATTTGGAGCTAAGTAATTATTTTCCAGCTTCCTTGTTTGCTTTAGGCACTTGTCAGTGGTGCTAATGAATGTCTCTCCCCTGGAAGGCATTTCTTGCTTCTCCTCTGCCTCGCTTGCAGTCCTGTCTGGAAGGACTGTTGTCATTATCTGCAAATCTTCCAGATATAAGTCGGGGGTTAGTGGTAAGAGCATCGAGGTATTGTCGCCAACGATTCCTTGCACCAGTCTTTGTTAACCTTTATTTATTTCGAGTTCCTGTGCTTGTTGAGCTGGGTCAAGGGATTCCCGGTGTGAGCACAGCGCAATATTTGGCGCTCGTCGTTGTTAAAAATCTGATGATGTAACCAGCATCGATAGCTTTGAAGGGACATCTCATAGAACAAAGACCGGGGAGTATGTTTCTTCCAGTTTAGTTGGGGCACCTATTTTTAAAGTCTTTTTTATTTTTTATTTTTTGCACGGGTGCAGTTAAAGCGCAGATGAAGCCAAGGCTCGCCAGTTTTCGGGGTGCACTGGCATTAGGGTGTATTTTCTATAGGGCCGGCTGTCATCAGCTTCCGAGTACCAAGCAGCGAGGGTATTTTCTGATGCCTCACTAAGCCTTGTAGGTGTATCTGTCCATCTAAGTTAAAGTGCAACTGACGTTTTCGTAGGTCAAAAATGGGCAAATATTGGCAATTCCCAGTGATTCAGACACTCTAGGATTTGCCTGTGTGTCAGGTGGTAGCTTGGAAGGGACTGTGGCTGTCACCCCAGAGACAGCAGTGTGTCCCTCCTGTCTGCTCCCAGGCTTATGTAACGTTACAGAAAACGCTTCTGTGTTCTTAGAATGAAACAGGAACACACTACATGAAGGTCATGTTTAAGAGTAGTATGGGAAAGATTCACCTACCAGATACAATTCCAAATGTATGTAAATGCATTATTTTAGAAAATGCTATATGTTACATGATAAAATTGGTAGTTGGAAACATCAGATAGTTTTCTTTATTATTCTGAGCCATTCAGCTTTGCTGGGTCTCCTAACACACACACACACACACACACACACACACACACACACACACTCGGAGCCCATGACAATAAATATATAAAGGTTTTATATAAGCAATAGAGGGAGCTAATAAATAAACCCATTTTGGGCATTAGCATACTTGTTAATGGTAATCTGTAGCAGACTAAATAATCTACAGAGATTTCAGGTGATCTATCTGTTAAATTAAAAATAAACACAAATAGCTTGTGTTCATCAGTTATTTGAAATGACAAGTTTTCATGGTAATTTCCATCTTTAAAAGGCATCTCCACTGACTGCTTTCCTCTAGGAATATTTTATTAATATTTTTTATAGCACATGAGATTGCTTTTTGGCTAGTCAACTTCTTTAAGGAAGGATAAGCTGATAATTTTAAATAGAGAAATGATATTTATCCCACTGATAAAACCTTGAGACAAATCATGGATTGTGGTAACAGGCTGAATGTGTCCGAGCAAGCCTTGGTAGGTGCAGGAATGAAGAAAAATGATGTAATTAGTTGTGATGTTTTTTTCTCAGGGAACGTTGGAAATCTTTCCTCCCTGGGGGTGGAGACAGCCGTTCTGTGGTGGGGAAGATTCTGCCGCAGTGGGCTCTTTCTGTCACTGAGATGCGCATACATCAGAACAGCCATGGAAAGCAGCGTTTAAAAATGAAAAGTTGTACGATGGTCTGTAAGATATGTAGCTAAAATGTCTATGATTGAGCTTTTTCCCATGCAATGCGCAGGACACCTTTCCTATGTCCGGTCGTCAGGAGGTTGACTTTGAGTGTGAATGCTCACTCTGCATTTTCCTGGCACCTCAGCTGGAGTAGCCGCTGGCCAAGCCGGCGGACCCGGAGGTCTGGCAGGAGTTCGGGTGGGCAGGTCGGCGCCCGGCTGCTGTCGCGGGTGCTGTGTCTCATCACCTGTTCTTCAACTGCGTAGGGTTTTCTTAAGCAGCGGTTCAGATGCCACACGCTGTTCTTCCTTCGAAAGATGCTTTCCTCTCCTTCTCACAGTTGAACCCTCTTCTTCTCTGTGACAAATGAGGGGGAGTGGGAATGCAGGTCAGTGTTTGCCTGGTCACCTTGCAAGTCCAACTGGAATGTAAAATGGAAGCTGCTCGTCTCATAAACACACTCAGAAATAATGTAATTGGTGCTTAAGAACCTTAAAACATCTTTCCCATGGAATGTATTTCTCTCCATAGTGAGACTTGCCTTTGCCATCTAATCTGTAGAAGGCCACTGAGGGCTGTCTTGACATTTACCCTGATTTAACCCTCTGTGTTCAGCCTGGGAGCGAGGGTAATTTGTAAGTGTGGGTGACTTCACCCGACACTCTGCTCATGAACTTGTGCCTTGGTGTGGCACTGAACTGGGGCCATTCATCTGTCTCTCCGTTCATTTCTGCCCCCCACCAACGGCGAGGCTCTCTTGTGTTGCGTGGGAGTCTCGTCTTTAAGAAACATGTGTTTTTGTCCTCTACATGAGAGCCCGTTATTTTATCTCGTGTTCAACCAAAGGAACCGTGTTCTGGTTTGAAGGGAAAGAAAGAACAAGAAAAGGAAACCGGCTGTTTTGAGCTGAGCCCTTACATTTGGCCACCATGAACCTAGCATCACTGTCATGAGAAATGGAGCCACGTGGTCACCAAGTCATGGTCACCATAGCAGGGTCGAGCAAAGTGCACGAAGAGAGTTTTACGAAGATGTAAAAGGTACACGTTTACGACTCAGGGATACGTGACTGTGTCTGGAACCCTTGGCCCATTCCCATGCAAAAACAGGAGAGTGACTGAAGAGTGTGGGGTCGTTAGTGGGTTAGAGAACGCATGTCCGCGTGACCAGGGAAGAGTGTGGCCATCACCGATCACCGCAGTCAATGCATTGCTGAGTGAGGGGGCCACAGAGGTGCGCTGGTGAATCAATGAGTAGAAGAAGTGATAAAACGATGTAGAGGTAAAAAAGAAAAAGAAAGAAAAAAATCAATGAACAGGAAGAACCAGTAAGTTGGAATCTTCATAAATTGACTACACTGTTCCAAACAGCCAGACACGTCATTGACTTAACTTTCGAACGTGAACATCGTCTGAAGCAAGGCTCAGAGTGCCGTGCTATGTACGGAAATGTGCGATCAGCTCAAAGATAAGGGCCCTGGTGTTAATCATCACGTTTTTCTAGTGCGGTTAACCAGCAGCACATGAACTTGTGCTTTCGACCTCTCAAGCAGAACAGGGTCAACCACTGACTTCTTCTCCAGCACCGTTCCCCAAGAGAATGAAGCCTCCGTGACCCTCCAGGTCCCGGTCGCCGGAGGAAGTCGCAGATCACTCTTGGTGTGAACGGGGCCAGCTTCTCCATCTCAGCACTCATCACATGGCTGCTGATTCAGTCATTCATTCCAGACCAGCCACACACATACCTGTCATGTCAGCATGCGCTTAACTTATCAAACCAGCAGGGAGATGTAGACGGAAGGACATTCGATCTTAATGTCTATCTCATCTTGACAATACTGTACAATTATATTTGAATGTCTGCTCATAATTATATACTTTACATTTTACATTCTGCAGTTATACACACATTACTACAAAGGACTTTATTCACCAAAGTGCATAGATTGTCTTTATGGGCTGACAAAGTCTTCTTGAAAATTCTTTTGAGCAGGGTTATTTTTGCCTTGGAAGAGGACTTTGGCACCTAGCCCTTCCTTCGCCAGACATCATCCCTGGAGAAGACACACTGTGGGAAATGAAAAGGGAGGTGCTTTGGCTCTATGACACCAGGTGACATGGGTCAACCTAAATTGCCCAGTGTTTCCAGTGCCAGACAGTGGCCTAAGGACTTTACATAAATTAACTTATTGACTTTTCCCAATGACCTTAAGTGGTTCTAATATTGAGGAAGCTAAAAATCAAATAGATTAGTGAACTAGGCCCAAATCACATAGTAGCAGGGCTTAGAGCCAGGGTTCCTTGCAGTCAGATTCGACCAGGGTCTGACTTTTAGCTATACCCCGTGCTTCACTGGACATCAGTAATGGCTTAGGAGCTCTGCTTCAACCACACATGTCTACTGCATGAATCAGCTGTATGCTGTAACTTATAGTTGTATTAAAAAAATTTTTTTTGTTCTTCATTTTAGAGAAAGAGAAAGGGAGAGGGAGAGACAGAGAGAAACACTGATGAGAGAGAACATCGATTGGCCACCTCTTGCAAAGCCCACTGGGGCGTTGGCTGATAACCTGGCATGTGCCCTGGCCAGGAATTGAACCAGTGACCTCTTGGTGTGTGGGCCGATGCTCAACCACTGAGCCACATCAGCCGGGCTATAGTTGTGTTCTTTATCATCAACTCTGGCGTTTTGGGCCAGACATGCACAGCTTTACCAATGACGGCCAATCCCTAGATACGCCTATAATCTATGGCCTGTAAATCTTGACTCCAAAAAAGATGAGCTGGGTCAGTGGGACTCCTTTCTTAAGACTCAGGTAACGATGACCCTTGGTAGCCATGACGATCTCCTTATCCCTCCATACATTTTTATAGTGACTGTGTTGCCCAAGTCTGGGTAATCGGAGCAAATTTTTGTTCTTTGCAATCTAAAGGCCTCCAATAAAAGACCTCTTAACGTCTAGATTATTTTAGGAGTCTTATCTAAAGAGGCTCAATGTTGAGACCTTTCCCCCACGTTGAACCTACTAAGTAGCAGCTGAAGCAGATATATACGTATTGTCCACTTAAATCTCTTAACACATTCTAGGTGATTCCTAGAAGACTTCATTAATGAGTTCACCCTAAAGCAGCGGTTCTCAGCCTGTGGGTGCGACCCCTTTGGGGGTCCAATGACCCTTTCACAGGGGTCGCCTAAGACCATCGGAAAACACGTCTTTCCGATGGTCTTCGGAACCGAGACCCCACTCCTCTGTCCGTCTCCAGGGGGTCCGCCCACACGC